TCTGGGGATCTTTTAGAAATTAGATTGATTCTCAAGTTCCACTGCATACCTACGGATTCGGAATCTCAGGAGAATTTTTTTTTTTTAGCCTTCCCATTTAATTGTTGACCAACCAAGGAACCTGAACTGCATTTGACACTCAACAATAACTAAGTATGCAATTGCTTTACAGATGAAGAGGCCAGGAAAGCGGAAGCTACCTACCAAAGGGCACGTATTCATCACAACAAAAAGATGCTTGTTCAAAACGTAGCACTCTAGTCTCTACCCCTCAAGATTTGGAGTAAATCCTACAGGGTCCAAGAATTCTGGTAACAAAGACAAGCAGTTTGCAGTTCACACCGAGAAACGCACTGCTCTGCGGGATGCCTCAGAGAAAACAGAACCATCATGATCTTGTACTCTATCATATTCGGATTAAGAAAATGCTATACTTACCTTTGCCTTAAAATCTGTCACTTCTCCTTCAGAGAAGGAATGCATGGTGAACCCCAAATCCAACGAGCATTTCTTTGCTTTTGGGGAAATCACCTATGAGACTGCGACACTGTATTAAAGTAAGGGCTTTCCTCCCATCTTGACCCACTAATCAGCAGTGTGATTTTAAACCTCCCACTGTACTCCTTTATTAGACATACTTCATTTTTCCAAAGTACAGCTTTAATGACTCACTGGATATGCCTCGAAGAGGCAAGTGCCTAACTTCACAAAAGTTTAACCATTCAGTCAGAAACTAGTTCTAATGCACAAATTACCTGAGGGCAGCAAAACAGGAAGTACAGAGAGATTCTAGGAAAAATTAGGTAGAGCTGCAAGAAGGCAATACTCGGCTTTGAGAAGGGACTTAAGAACATGGATTTAAGGCCGGGCATGGTGGCTCATGCCTGTAATCCCAGCACTTTGAGAGGCCAAGGTGGGCGGATCACCTGAGGTCAGGAGTTCAAGACCAGCCTGGCCAATATGATGAAACTGCCCCCCGCCCTACTAAAAATATAAAAATTAGCTATGTGTGGTGGCTCACATCTGTAGTCCCAGCTACTCGGGAGGCTGAGGCACGAGAATTGTCTGAAACCAGGAGGCAGAGGCTACAGTAAGGGGAGATCATGCCACTGCGCTCCAGCCTGGGTGACAGAGTAAGACCCGGTCTCAGTAATAATAATTATATATATTTAAGAGGTAAAACTGGACCTAACATAGCACTGTAAGCACCACAGAAGAAGACAGGAATGCAGGTTTCACACCCAGCTCTGCTACCGTACAGCTGTGTGGTGACAGGAAAGTCATCTAAATGTCCTCAACTCTCCTTACCACGTGCGAGATGCAGGAATTTAAACTAGCTAGTCTCAATTCTGTGACTGTGGTATGTGAACAAAAAAGGAATAAAAAATTGTTCCCCACCCAGTTCTCCATCTTAGCCTATTTTTAATCCCACTATCTAAATAAATACAATGTAGAGTAACAATTATCTCAATACCACATTGCATATGAACTGTCCAAGCTGTGCACTGCACAAGGGCAACACATCTAAGGCAGTACTATTTGCCTCACAAAGTAGATCTGTGTATTTCCTGTAAGTTCTAGCAGGTAGCAACCAAATGCCTTGTTCTCTAAAAAATAAAATCACTAAATTATTACAAGTCGTTCATAAAAGTATCTTTGGAAGGGCCTTTTTTAATCTGCACAAAGGCTGTGTGTGGCCTGGGCAGTGGCCCAGATAACCATCAGGGGTTCCAACTGACCACCCGCATAGCAGCACACACACACAGAATACAGTGGACAGAGCACCCTATGAGCCACTCAGACCAAAGTCCTTACCCCTGCCTGCTTACATCTGCACTGCTTGAGATTGTCATTCTCCAATGTCTTTAGTGCCAGGGAAGGCAACAGGTTTTTGATGAATAATGACGAATGTGTGTCATGAATATGCACACAGAGATAAAACCTCTACTCTCTTGAGAGCAATGCAAAGTGAAAAGAGATGACACGGTTAGTCAAGAGGAAGCAGCTATCAAAATTTTAAGGGAAAGAAAATTCCAGGTGGAATTCAGAAGACATCTATTTTACGCTCTGTATATACTCAGTGCCTTAATTGCTTTAAAAACCCTATTTGTTGAATTTTCTAATTGACTCTAAGAATGAATGAACAGCCAGGCGTGACTCACACCTGTAATCCCAGCACTTTGGGAGGCCAAGTTTGAGACCAGCCTGGCCAACGTGGCGAAACCCCATCTCTACTAAAAATACAAAAAATTAGCCAGGCGTGGTGGCGCATGTCTGTAATCCCAGCCACTCGGGAGACTGAGGCACGAGAATCACTTGAACCTGGGAGGCAGAGGTTGCAGTGAGCCAAGATTGCACCAATGCATTCCAGGCTGGGCAACAGGAGCAAAACTCCGTCTCAAAAAGAATACAAAAATTAGCCAGGCGTGGTGATGGGTGCCTGTAATCCTAGCTCTAGCTACTCAGGAGGCTGAGGCAGGAGAATTGCTTGAACCCGAGACGGGGAGGTTGTGGTGAACCAAGATCTCGCCATTACACTCCAGCCTGGGTGACAAGAACAAGACTCTGTCTCAAAATAAAAAGGAAAGAATGAATAGCAGTGACTTGGGATCGGCTATATGGCATCTCTGGGCTATGGAATACGAGAGAGTATAAATGCACTTTCCCTTGCCCCTCTTTGGCCTACCATGAGAAAGTCCACACTCAGGCAGCCACTGCTCTCTGGAACTAGGCTCCAGAATGAGAAACACAGAGCCCACCTCAGCCCAATCTGAAGGCTAGAGACAAGTTCAGCTGACCCATGAGTGAGAAATATAAATGCTTGCTTTAATAAGCTATATTGGCATGGTTTAATGCACCGTTATTCTGGCAAGTGAATAAAATGAGAATTTTTTTTAAGGTGAAGGCACTTTGAAAAGACTTGAAGTAGTATTTAAAAGTATTCAAGCAGCCTGGAAAGAAAATGTGATTGGGCCATATAATTAAATCACCATGCTCTTTAGTTGGGTGGATACAGAGTAAGACTTACAGAAGACAAATGTGCCATAAAGCCACTTCCCTAAAATAATCATTCAGAGATGTCCTAACCATCAGCCCTTCCTAAGAGAGAATGGAGTTGCTACTTCCTGGTGAAATGTTTTCCCTTCCCCCACGGTTATAATTTAGAAATTACGTAACAAATTTCTAAATTTATACCCAGCAGAAACTAAGTTTCAATCCTTCTCAAGCAGGGCCCTTGTATTCCAAGTTTCTTAGCACCCAGCACCAAAATAACCACTAATTAACCTCAAAAATAGAAGAAGAAAAGGAAAATAGTCCAAAACTAACAATGAAGTAAAAGAAGTACCACTATTTTCTTCATTCTATGAAGGTAACAATTATGACAGCACAAATTTTTTGACAACTTGCAGTTCAAAAGGAAGAAAAAGTACTTCTACATTAAATGTACACAGAAGTTAAGAGGTATCCTGATTGCAATACTAAAATGTGAGGAAAATACACCTCAGACTGAAGGAAATATTACAACTGTTCTTTCAAACCACAATCCTTTTCTTCCCCCTTAGAATATGCTCCCCTTCTGGCATGAAGTCCAGCTTGAAGAACACAGCTTTAACAAACTATAAAACCTATTTCTAAGATGTTCAGTAAAACGCTATAAATCCCAATAATATATTAACATCGTATTAAATACTGTAAATTCTAACACAAACTAACCCTGTAAAGACTATTTTCAATAACCCTTTCCAACCTCTAAACCATACTCCTTGGAAAATATTACTCACCTACTAAGCCATGACTATAAACAAGCTTGTTAAGTCAAATAGAAAACAATATTTAAATGTAAAACGTTAGCTGCATCCATTTGCTAGCCAAGTTTTTCTGACATGCAGAAATCAATCTGAAAACATTTTTAAAAAACATTAGCTTCTATCAATCCCCTTGCCATCCTTGTTCTTCTGATACATAGATAATTCATTGACACAACCATAACACCTGCTTTATTTCACTTATTCATAAAATAATATACCCATCAAATGACTATTTCTAGAGCCATCTCATATGTCAAACATTGCTTTAGGACAAAGACACAGCAACAGTCAAGGACCCATATGCCCCTGACTACACTAAGGATACATATGTCTCTGCTTTTCAGGGCATCACATGATCCAGGTTATCGTTCCCTAATATGGCCAAAAAGGAATAAATAAGATGCATTTCTTGGTTAGAACTGTTAAAGCTTACATCTGCCTCTTCCTAACCCCTTCTCAACCAACCCAGCTTAATTGTAGCACAGTATGCAAATCATGCCAGACATGACTCCATGCAGAGAACTATCAAAATGAGGCCACAGTGTATCAACCTTAACTAATTTTAAGGGTTCTTAGTTTCTAAGATTCTTGTACAGATCAGTAAAATGTCCTAAAGGTAAATAAACATTTCTAGCCAGCTAAAGGAAACGTACCCCACACTGAGATTCACAGCATGGAATCCGTATTCTGATAGAAGTAATTTGAGATAACCACCTATGTGCAGTGGTTCCCAAACTTGGCTACATTTTAGAAATACCTGGAAAATATAAAAATCACACTGTTCAAGTACACTCCAGTTAGCAGCCAAGTCTGAGAACCACTGATGCAGAAAACTTGGGGGGAAACAAGCTGCTTTCCAATGATCTACGGATTAAAGGTACACTGACATTTCCTTCCTGCACAAGAAGTGAGCTTCCTGAACACTGCTTCACTAAGAATTATTGTGGACCTACTTGGTATTTAAGAGAAGGAGTTCCTGCCCTGCCTACCAAACTTGGGGGAGAAAGCACAAACCTGAATATACAGAGGGCCAAATATTATCGCAAACTGAATGCCAGAAAATAAAAATAACAAAGCTTTAAAATTTTATCCCAAGATTTGTTAAAAATTGATGTTATCAAGAGTCAAGTTCCCACTCCTCAACATCTGAAAAGTAAGAGACGGAGGGAAAATAACAACCCTCAGGCTGGCTTGTGAAGGGTTTTTGTTTGTTTAATACATCTGAAAAGAATGCATATACAAAGAATTGAGACATGAGAAAGCATTGGTTCAACACTAATGAATCTACAAGAATTAGGATTGGGAAGGTGGGAAAGATTACCTCAACATTTTTAAAAACTGGAAACTGCAACCAAAATAAGCTGATAAAATCCCTATTAACACTTATGAAGAGTCTTCATAAGACTCTTTCCATGATTTTATTAAGCTAGAGAGCCTCACTTGGCTGCTCTAGGGTTCCTCATATGTAAAACAGAAATAAGGGGATTCCCCTGACTGGTCCCCATGTTGTTAAGTGTTCTCCCCACCCCCACCCTACCCCCAGCTTCTTAATGAAGCAGGCCTCCATCCTCTTGAGAGGATGTGAATCATTCCACAGATGTCTGTCTTCTAGCACCACCCCTCGTATTTCCTCTACATACCAGGTCTTCAGCTGCATTCTAGGAACACCATATACTACTGAGTTGCAAATCTATGCTAAGCATATAAGACAATGACTGACAGGGAAAAAAAATTTTTTTAATTACAAACTCAATTCATTTGGTGTATTTCAAAGGTGCAATACTTTTCTTCATTTATCAGTGAAAGAAGTTAGAAACTAACTTCCCCAAAAAATCAGCAAATGGCAAACAAATGTCCTTGAAAGTCACAGTCACATATAGTGCGTCCTAGAAAAGAGGAGGGGCAAGACAGGCTCCACCCACTTTCATGAGTTTCATCAAATACTGGATCTACTCAAGGGTGGAGAGAAAAGGCAACTTTCAAAAAGGAGTATGTTATTAAATGAGGCATTTACTATACTCCTTCCTAAGAGCACCAGATGGGGAACATGTTTTCTAAACTAGATCTAGGAAGTGGAATGTGGAATCAATCCGTCCTCCTCCCCTTAAGGGCTAACCACTGGTTAATGAATTAAAAAAACAAGACTAAAAAACAAACCCCACACACACTCCCCCCAAAAAAAGAGGAGGGGGGGAAAAAAAAAAACAAAAAAACACTAAGATGTCCCAGATTACTCTCCAGAGTGGAACCAGGGAGCAGCTTCAACAATTCCAATGAGTCTGTTACAGAGTCATCCACAAGCATGCCTTGCTTTAAAAAAAAAAAAAAAAAAAAAAACTTTTTTTTAAACAACAAAACAAAAACTAGTACTAATCACTTTTATGACAATATACAATTACTCAAAATTAACTAGTACTGGGAGGGGAAGGGGGGGTCCATACCTATGGGCCTTGTCTCACACGAGTGCATGTGGGTAGGTGCAGGGCATTTGTCATTATTGCAAAAACGAATTTTAATTTTTAATCTTTAGTTTGATTTAAACATTGCTTTTAGTATGATGCTGACACCAGCTGTGCAGAAAGGGCTCTGAAGAGATGTTCATAGCAGCACACACCTGCGGCTCTTCTTCGGTTCTGGAGGCTCCAGGGCAGCCAATATTGCTTCGTCAAATACATTCTTTAGGCCTTTCTGAAAAGGGGTAGAAAGAAAAAATGGGCGGTCTGATTTTCAGTATAATAGAGTTCAAATTTAAAACATTCAAACCCCCAAGAGTTGGCGAAGAAATAAACATTAAAAACAACCCTGAATCTCAACACAATAATCTCACTTCACCAAGATTTGTCCAGGGCACTGGAAGGATTCAGCAATTCAGGATCAGAGGAGCAGATATTCACGAAAGAGACAGTGGTCCTTTGAGAAAGCTTTGTGCAGACCAATGTATGTCACAAGAAGCAAACAAGCACATGGGTCATTTGCTCATTCAATATGAGTTCTGTAATGTGCTGCTGAAACATTTTACATAAAAACAAGGGAAGCAGCTCTGCATTCAAATGAAACAGCTGGATGTGAAACAGGACTGAGAGGACGGGCATGGGTCAGTGGCATCCTTATTCTACGGAAGGCACAGGCAAAGAGAGAGAGGGTGATTATGGTAGCTGCAAAGATAGTCACTTTGAACTCCCTTTATCCCACCAATTAGACAGAGCCAAGGAGATCCAAGGGAGCAAAAATGTGGGTACTTGATACATATGTAAAATTAGAGCCAGTCAGTGCAACAGGAATAAAGCTTCATCAGGCATTTATACAAACAGTTGTATATTTTAATTTCAAAATTTGAAAGTAACCACAATTGTATATTTCCCTCACAATAAAATCAGAAGCAGGAAAATATAAAGGTGGCAGCTTTACATCTCAACATTAACAAACTGTAAGTCAACTGTTTAAATGGATGCTATTCTTAAAAGATAATGCAACAAATGAACTTATAAAGCAGTAGCAGATACATCAATATCTTCCCCACCCCAGACTGACAAATACTCCACTACAGCACAGACAGCCAAAGCAACAGCAACACAAAGTTTCACTGCACAAAGAAAAATTAGAAAAGAATCCTCCCTTCCCCATTACACTCGACTAGGTCACCCCTTTCCCATAAAGTTTGTCATGCAATTACAATTAACAATTGATCATAAGAGTCAAATGGTGTTTGTGTTACTTTCTCCACCTAGAACTAAGATCTAGAAGTGTTAAAACTCTTGTTATTTTCTCCAAAAGGACATTCTTAATACCAGACCAAGTTTCCTTTTTCAATAGTAATCCAAACCAAAAAGCTCTGAGCATCAGGCAACTCAAGCAGCAGAAAGTTAAAAAAGTCCAACTTGACTACTGATCACAGAAAATTTCTGTAAGATATTGCATTCTTGATCAAAACTAATACAGAGGTTGCTCTAAGGTGGTGAGTAAAAAGACGCAGAGGCTTTCAAACAGGATGGTTTTATTCCTTTGTTTTTAAACGATCTTTCTACAGTAGTGGGACAGGAAGCAGCAGCAAAGAAGGGAAGGACAAAACAGTTTAGAATATACAGCACTTCCTTTTGGGTTGAGTTTCCGGAGGCTCGAGGGCAGCTAGGATAGCCTCATCAAACACATTCTTCAGACCTCTCTACAAGACAGAGGGGAGGAGAGAGAATAGCAGCCAGGTTAGAGGATTAGAAAGACTAGCAGGTACAACAGCAGTCGGATTAAATGAGCTGAATTCACAGAAGCAGTGTGCCTTAAGAAAAATGCCAGAATGCTAGATCTTGAGCCCATTATTGGAAGAGTAGGTAATTGACCAAAAACTTCACCTCAAGCAAGGTTAACTGAGCAGGAAAGCAATTTTTATTAAAATGCAATATGTTGACTTCTAACACATTTTGGAAATAAATCTACTGCAATTTCAGGCTTATGTGAATTCAGCCCCTGAATAACTGAAGGACACAAATAGCAGACTAACAGGCATGCTATGTGTTTCTAGGTTCAATGACATATCTGAATGCGATTAATCAGGATTTCAGAGTAAACTGGTTTCCCAGAACAAAAAGCTTTGGACGTTTAAAAGGAGTGTTAATTGTGCAACAGTACCAACTAGACGGAGTTTGAAGAACGGACTCTAGAAACAGCACACACTTCAGTTATTCAGCAATGTTATTAGAGCAAGTAACCACCACCCAAGTCATAAGAAAACAAAGAATGGGATCCTAGAATGAGTTTTAGCAAGCAATCCAGTGCTTTAAGATGTCTGCATGGGTATCGGAGCATAAAGCATGGAGTGAAAACGAAGAATATTCTCAGATCTTAAGGGGATGAAGATACAGAAATACACTTACACCTCAGCCAGAAACTCCAACATGACTGTGACTCAGTAGTGGTGGTACTTAGGACCCAGGTCTATAGACTCACCTAAACTCACCTAAATCTGAAGCCACAAGTTTACCACCCAAGGTTGTTTCACATGTTCTTTAGTTTGATCAGTTTGATCCCAAGTAAATATGTCCTAAAAGTCCCAGAACACAGCTCCAATTTTAAGTGCCAACCCCAGACTATCCCAAGTGTTCCCACCTCTACCCTGCCCCCATCCATGACATCCCACAGGACTGGTATTCATACATCACATTAGATACAAAATAAATAAGAAACGGCAATAAATCCTTTAAAAGAAGCAAAGAGATTAAAAAGCTTTCTTCTTTCTACATCATTTACAAAGTAGAAATACTACATAAAAGTTAAAATTCCTCTGCAATCCTTTCTAAGAACCAACTCTGGTTCCTAGTCAAATATAAAAGGAAGAAGGGAGTACAGAAAGGAAAATGTACTTTATAAGGAAAAAAAAGAGGAGGAAAACCATTAGAAACTAGAGTGTATCCCTTAACAAGAAGGAATTCCTTTCTCTGTAATCTTTGCTTGACCATTATCTGTTTACATTAAGACTTTAGTTTTAGAGGAATCAACAAACAGAATTTGTAATCCTAAAAGTTCTAGCTCCCAAACACAACGACAGACCCCATTTTATAACTTCTCCTCTTTTGACTTTTCCATACTTCAAACTCTCCTAAGAAAAATATACCCGCTAAGACCTTTTAAACTTCATATTCGCTACGAAGTGACTTACTATATACATTTGTTGACACTAAAAATCATATATTAAAAGCATCCAATTATCTAAAGCTTTACTAGTGACCTAAAAGTGGATCCACAGGGCCTATGTCTTTCCCTCAAGGAACCCCTATCTAGAGAACAGAAATATGCATCAGAAGCACACAGAATTAATGTCTGACACAGACACAAGTGTTTCAAACATGACATTCTGTGCCTCTATATACACACACAGTTTTCTGGGAATTTTATTAAAACAAAGAAAGCAGCACCAGGCATTTTTTTAAACTCTCAAAATAGTACTGTGTGTAAGATGTAAAATCTTCTAAACTTTTAAATAGCTGCTTTTATAACAGCACTAAACTGCCCCAAAAACTAGGATCAGAAGATTATGTTTAAAGCATCTGGTATTAGGCCTTGACGTTATCCTGAGGGATATCCCAGTTAAGCATCCAAGTTTTACTGTAAATATCCAACCAAGTACTATATTGAAGTTTATTATACTAGGCCCTATAAACTAAATACCTCGTATATATGTAATAAGTAATCATATATTTATGCCATTTACCCTAGTATACATGGAGTTAAGAATCCAATGTTTCTTAAAAAAAAAACAATAAAAATTAACAATTACCTGAAAAAGCAAGCATAATGTAATGAGTTTAATACAATTATTAGAAACCTCCACCCTTCAATCTTGTCCTATTTTAATTAGGCATGTTTGCTCACTGTTCCAACTTGAAAGCACCATTACCAGTACTGAACATAAGAATTTTGTGCTAATTATTTCCATAATTTTTTCCTTTGTCCCCAGAACAGTACTCAAAGGATAGAACCAACAATATCATGAAGGTGAAAAAGCTTAAACCATACACATCAGTTACAAGTCCCATTCTAAATACCCTAAAACATTGCTCCTTATCCTCAAAATCTGAGTTTCCCATCAAACTACTAAAGGAGTTCCAATTAAATCACTCAAAAAAGGCCAGAATGAAAGAGAGGTCCACATGAGGAAGGAATACTTCCAAAAACATAGGAATAGAGACACTATATAAAGCATGCTTGAGAACTGTGGCAGAAATAGCCATGGCCCGCCTTCTTTGACAGGAAAGTCTCAATCATTATGACTAATTCCCTATCCTGGTTGCATTACCCAAGAAACAGTATAATATCAATTGTCAGAATTGGCAAGAAAAGATGAGACTTATTTAGATGAAAATTTAAGTGCCTAGAAAAAAAAAATCATTCACATCCTCTCGTGCAAATTTGTGCTTATCTGAACCTTTCCTGTAAGGTTTTCGGCGAATCATTCAGTACAACATGAGAGCTTACCAACACAAGCAGTTTAGAAACTATATAATTATTCTCCAAAAAACACAGAGGCCTCTAACAAAAGAGTATACAACATGAAGCTGCTCATATTCTTGCTGGGCATCTCTGGGCACTGTTGATCACTGTTAGAAATAACTCCTGTATCCTAATGCTCTAATAAATGACTAGACCGTAAATACGCATTGGGTTTCATGCCATCCTTACCTGTGTGAGTGCAGAACACTCCACATACTTGACAGCCTTCAGATCACGGGCCAGCTTTTCAGCAGTCTCTGGAGTGATAGGCTTCTGTTTGTTCTTGGCAAGTTTCTCAATAGTAGAGGGGTCATCTCTGAGATCAATTTGGGTCCCAACAAGCAAGAAAGGAGTCTTTGGACAGTGATGAGTTATCTCAGGCACCCACTAAAAAAAGGTATTTTAAAATACACCTTCGTTAATCCACAAACCTCTAATGCTATTTATTACAGGTCAGTAGAAATTCTGGGATGACCTTCTTCGGCCAAGAATATCTGATCAGCTTACCTTTTCTTTCACATTTTCAAATGAAGATGGAGAAACCACTGAAAAACAGACTAGAAATACATCTGTTTGTGGATAACTCAGCGGTCGTAATCTGTCATAATCCTCTTGCCCTAGAAAAAAGAAAAATATTGGACTGAATTCAGCAACTGAATCTTGATGTCCTCAAAGCGTTAAAAGCACGCTGGTCATTACTCAAAAAGCAACTTACTTATCTAATAAAATGCATAGCTCTGTAATATAATATGTGGGCAATATTCTCAATAAGCTAATTCTACATACTTTAAGCACTCAGAACAGCAACGAATTTATTACTGTTATTTGCTTTTATTACTAGTTTGTGGTGTTCAATCTTTGTGTCCATTAGAAACCCAATAATAAATGTAATAATAGAAATGGTTAAAAATCAATCCTCTTAATTCCAGCACTTTGGGAGGCCAAGGAAAGTAGATCACCTAAGGTCAGGAGTTTGAGACCCACCTGGCCAACATGGTGAAACCTACTAAAAATACAAAAATTAGCCAGGCATGGTGGCACACGTCTATAATCCCAGCCACTTGGGAGGCTGAGGCAGGAGAATTGCGTGAACCCAGAAGGCAGAGGTTGCAGTGAGCCAATATCATGTCACTGTACTCCAGCCAAGACAGAGCAAAACTCCATCTAAGGGAAAAAAAAAAAAAAAAAAAAAAAAAAAAAATCCTTGCCAGATATGGTAAAGAAACAATCACAGTAAAATCATCTAAGCAAAGAAAAACCTCAGTGAAACCCAGATGACAAAATCCACTGCCTATCATGACTACAAACACAGGTTGATATATTTAGTTAATGTGTACATGTAAGACCGGTATCTAAAACTGATAAAGCCTCGGAAAAACTTTTGGCAAGAATTAATGTATACTCAAAATAATAAAAATACTTAGAATTAACTTAAATCAGAGGCAAAAGACTTGGACAACAAAAATTTCAAAACTGCTGAAATAAAGAAGACATAAAATAAATGGAAACACATCCCACGTTCATGAATTTGAAGACTTAACACTGTTGACATGTCAATATTATCCAAAGCAACCTACAGATTCAATGCAATCCCCATCAAAATCCCAAGGGATCCTAAATAGCCAAAATAATCATGAGAAAGAAGAATAAAGCTGAAGGACTCCCACTTCCTGATTTCAAAACTTACTACAAGGCTATGATAGTCAAAACACTGTGGTATTGGCACAGAGACACATATAAGACAATGGAATAGACTAGAGAACCCAGAAATAAACCCCTACATACATGGTCAAATAGTTGTTTTTTTTTTTTTTTTTTTTTTTTAAAGACAGAGTCTTATTTTATCACTTTGGCTGGAGTGCAATGGCACAATCTCGGCTCACTGCAACCTCTGCCTCCCAAGTTTAAGAGATTCTGTTGCCTCCGCCCCGCAAGTAGCTGGGACTGCAGGCACACACCACCACGCCAAGCTAAGTTTTGTATTTTTAGTAGAGATAGGGTTTCACCATGTTGGCCAGGCTGGTCTTGAACTTCTGACCTCAGGTGATCTGCCCACCTCACCCTTCCAAAGTGCTAGGATTTCAGATGTGAGCTACTGCAACCAGCCTAGGTCAAATACTTTTTGATAACGGTGCCAAGATCATTTAGTGGTAAAAGGATTCTTCAATAAATGGTGCTGAGAAAATGAGATACCACATGCAAAAGACAATGTTGGAACCTTACCTAATACCATATACAAAAATTAACTCAAAATAGATAAAGGCTTAAATGTTAGACATAAAACTTTGAAACTCCCAAAAAACATAGGGCAAAAGAGTCACAGTTGGACTTGGCAATTAATGTCTTTGAACGTCACACCAATCAAAAAAAAAAAACTTCATAAAATTATAAAAATTTTCTACATCAAAGATAGTTATCAACAGAATAAAAAGGAAACCAACAAAACAGGAAAAAAAAATTTGCAAATCATGTATGTGAAAAGAAATTAATATCCAGAATCTACAGAGAATTCCTAAAACCAAAAAAAAAAAAAAAAAAAAAAACCCAATTTAAAAATGAGCAAAGAACTTGGCTGAACAGACCTTTCTCCAAAGAATATAAACAAATGGCCATAAAATGCTCATTATCACTAATCATTAAGGCAATGCAAATCAAAACCAAAATTAGATACCACCTCACACTAATTAGGATGGCTACAATTAAAAAAAAAAAAAAGCAAAATTAGTGTTTAAGAGAATGTGACTACATCAAGTCCCAGCATACTACTGGTGGGACTATAAAATGGTACAGCCACTGTGGAAAACATTATAGAGGTTCCTAAAAAAAAAAATTGAAAACAGAATTACCACATGATCCAACAATTCCACTTATGGGTATATACCCCAAAAGAACTGAAAGCAGAGCCTCAACAAGAAACTTTTATACTCATGCTGATATTCAGTATTATTCAAAATAGTTAAAACGTAGAAGCAATTCATAGCACCAGTATTAAAACTAGAACCAAACATCCATCAACTTGTTAATGGATAAACAAAATTGTGATATATTCACAGAACAGAATACCACTCAGCAATCAAAAGAAACATCTACCAATACAGACAACATGAACAACTCTACATTACACTAAGTAAAAAGAGTCAAACACAAATGACTACATATTGTTTGGTTCCATTTATATGAAACCCTAGAAAAGCAAAATGGTAGAAACAAAAAAAGCAGATCTGTGGTTCCCTGGAACCAGGTCAAGGGACAGGGCTGACTGCAAAAGGGAACCCAGAAATAAACCCTCACAAATATCGTCAAATAATTTTTGATAAGGGCCCCAAGACCATTCAGTGGTAAAAGGGCTCGCCACGGAAAATTTGAGGGTAATAAAAATGTTGTGCATTTTATTATGGTGGAGAATCAGCAAAATGCATCACACTAAATACTTAAAATTTTTTTTTAAGACAAAGTCTTGCTCTGTCACTCAGGCGAGAGAGCACTGGCAGGATCTCGGCTCACTGCAATCTCCCAGCAATTCTCCTGTCTCAGCCACCCGAGTAGCTGGGACGTACAGGTACATGCCACCACACTCGGCTAATTTTTGTATTTCAGTAGAGACGAGGTTTCACCATATTGGCCAGGCTGATCTCAAACTCCTCACCTCAGGTGATCTGCTCAACTCAGCCTCCCAAAGTGCTGCAATTACAGGCATGAGCCACCATGCCCAGCCTTAAAATGATTTTTATTGTACTACTCATCAATAAAGCTTTAAAAAGTACTCACCAGAAAATGTAAAGGCTTACCAAAAATAAACTGAAATCTGAAAATATTAATTTTCAACCACAAGTAGCCATAAATTATCTTTTCTCTGTGCCCTTGGAGATAAATGAACACAGAAAAAAATCCCTTATTTACCATGAGATTATGGGTCACTGTTTTCTATTTTCCAAGTTTACTATACCATTACTTTCCTAATTTTTAATGTATTAAATCTTTCTCTAAACTTATCTCTCCATTTCATATTCTCAATCAAATCCAAATAGTTCCTCATGGTACACAGTATAACACATTCCATGAGAGCAACATGTTAGCTTGCAGACAGTAACAGAATAACTCAAAGCAGAAAGTTTAGAATTCCTACATTTTAAAGATATTCTAAAGGATACCTTTCTGAGATGTTCCTCTGGCTAACCGAGTTGGTAGTAAGATGGCACACAGAGAAAAGTCAGAAATTAAGATGTGCAGCCACTCTTAGAAACAAGAAATGAGGTTCATTTAAGGAAGAAAGTAATTTGTTCTTATGATTTGGACAGCTGACAAATGTCAATACTGTGAGCTAGATACTGGTTCACTCTCAAAATATTTTCAGATACAGTATAAAATAAATAAGCTATCCATCATAAGAAACTAAACATGTTATTAGACACATAAATTGAATAAGCCTTCAAATATCAGAGTTACAATAATAAATACTGTACATGGCTTACAACCTTATAACCTTAGGCATATTTAGGAAACTCTAGGCTTTAAAAAGCAGGCAGGGATGACAGGAGAGAATCAGCGGTCATGATTCCTATTAATTCATTCCCTTAGTCCCTCCCCAACCACTAATACAGTTACCAATTCTCTGCAAGGTGTACACATAGGATTTTAGGTCAATTCCGAGCTTGTGTAATGCACTCTGCTCTCACTCTACTTCACCTACTACACTGTTCACCCAGGGTACTCCAAACTGCTTTTTGCCAATCCAGGTCTTGGAACTGCTCCTTGGCCAAGCATCAACGATCACTATGTTCAATCCTGCTAACTAATAAAAGGCAAGCACTTTGCTCATGTGCTAGTTTCTCAAAATGGCCACAAGGGACACTCAACTAGCAACTGTTAAAGATCAAAACAGTATAAAAGACATTAAGTTTTTACCTGCAGTATCAAAAAGTCCAAGAGTGTATGGTTCTCCACCAATCATAACTGTGACTGCATAGTTGTCAAAAACCTAAAAACAAAAAAATACAACATTGTCACTGTGCAAGAGAGTTAAAATGAGACAGGACAACTCTTAAGCTAAGGCAGTGTTTCCTTGCTAGACTTAAGTGTCCCTTAGTCTAGCCATCATCCTTATATAACCAATCTGGCCAACCACGTCCCTGCGTGAGCTAAATGATTCATGGAAAAAGACAAAGGATGTGTTCTGAGATTTCTGCTCTACTTCAGCAACCTGGATAAAGAGCCAAAAGGCCAGGCGCGGTGGCTCACGCCTGTAATCCCAGCACTTTGGGAGGCCGAGGTGGGTGGATCACAAGGTCAAGAGATCAAGACCATCCTGGCCAACATGGTGAAACCCCATTTCTACTAAAAAATACAAAAAAATTAGCTGGGCGTGGTGGCACGCGCCTATAGTCCCAGCTACTTGGGAGGCTGAGATTGGAGAATTGCTTGAACCAGTGAGCTGATGTCGCACCACTGCACTCCAGCCTGGCGCCTGGTGACAGAGACTCTGTCTCAAAAAAAAAAAAAGAGCCAAACAAGGTTTAGAGGTGTCACAGGATCAGAGTCCTCTAGCTACACTAAATCAACCTGTTCAAGTTTTAAACTTTTGAGACAGTGGTCTACCTCAACACTCAATCGTATTCTTAAGAAATTATTTCTTCACAGACCATTTCCTTTTCATCTAGAATTAAAATCTCCTAGATACATGACCTTTCTTTCTTTCAGAGTCCTAGAAAAGGTAAGCCTTGTTACAAGCAAGTCCATCTGAAAGAAATAGTGGTTCCCTCAAAGTACTCAAAGAAACTGTCCAAGATAAGGCTGGCAGATTATTTCCTGGGAATTTCTTTCCTTCTTTTTTGGGGGGTTCAAACGATTCTCCTGCCTCAGCCTCCCAAGCAGCTGGGATTACAGGAGCATGCCACCACACCCAGATAATTTTTGTATTTTTAGTAGAGACAGGGTTTCACTCTGTTGGCCAGGCAGGTCTCTTAATTCCTAACCTCGTGATCCACCTGCCTTGGCCTACCAAAGTCCTGGGATTACAGGCATGAACCACAGTGCCCAGCCTGCTGGGAATTTATGAGTAAAATTCTGTTATCGGGTACAAACTGCATGACCTTCTTTAACAAGATGCTTGATATGTAAATAGACCATGAATCCCTTATCACATTCAGTAAAGCATATGTTAATATTGGTGGTACTAAGTTATTTGTGAAAACAGGAGGTTTAACAATAAATGGGAAAAGACCCAACACAAATTCTAGATTCTTCTGAATTAATTTACAACTGAAAAGCAATGCCTTTGGCTATGCAAGGTGGCTAACGCCTGTAATCCCAGCACTCTGGGAAGCCGGGGCGGGCAGAAAAACACCTGAGGTCGGGCGTTTGAGACCAGTCTGACCAATGTGCAGAAACCTCGGCTCTACTAAAGATACAAAGTTAACTTTGGGAGGCTGAGGAGGGTAGATCTTGAGGTCAGGAGTTCGAGACCAGCCTGACCAACATGGTGAAACCCTGTCTCTACTAACAATACAAAAAATAGCTGGGCATGGTGACAGACACCTGTAATCCCAGCTACTTGCGAGGCTGAGGCAGGATCATTTGAACTCAGGAGACAGAGGTTGCAGTTAGCTGAAATCGTGCCACTGCACTCCAGCCTGGGCAACAGGAAGAGGCTCCGTCTCAAAAAATATATATATACACAAAATTAGCCGGTCTTGAAGGCAAATGCCTGTAATCCCAGCTACTCTGGAGGCTGAGGCAGGAGAATTGCTTAAACCTGGGAGGTAGAGGTTGCAGTGAGCCAAGATCACACCATTGTACTCTAGCCTGGGCAACAGGAGGGAAAGTCTGTCAAAAAAAAAAAAAAAAAGGGAAAGAAAGAAAGAATGAAAAGCAGTGTTTTCATACACAACTGTAATCTGTCAATTTACATTAAAAAATTTAAAAATTAAATGACATATAAAATTTTTAAAAAGCAAAGAAAAGCTTTCCAACTAAGAGAAGAATACCATATTTTAAGACCAGGTCTACTAAACCTTTTAGCTACCTACTCTAATTTTCTGATTCATGTTTTAATAGATTGTGCAAGAGCCAGAGAAGCAAGGGTATGAGGGAGATGACAGTTAAAGGAAAGTCCGTTCTTAAGAACAACGAAATGGAATGGATGTGGTTAAGCTCTCAAACCAAACAGGTTATAAATCACACTTAAACGACTCAAAAACAGCCCTCCTTTACTGGATTGCTCATATCCAAAACTAGACTAAGAATCAGAAAAGCCGGCTTCAATTCCAAACTCTACTTAACGCTAGTGTTTAATTACTTAGACTTCTAAGTCTCATCCCTAAATCAGGCCAGAATACCTCATCCATAAGAGATGGGTAAGACTATGTACTGTCCCTTCCAGCTCTAAATTTCTATTACTCTAGAAATGGCAAGCCCCAATTTATAGATGAGAACAAAAATGCATTTTACACCAAATCCATTTCCATACTAACTTAAACAGGTACCATGAGAGCATTATTTGTGCCTCATGGTCCATTCATTTACCTAAAGCAGCTCATTCCAAATTTTATTCTACTAGTACTCTTCCTCTCGCCCTATCCTTTTTCCAGAGATCTACACACAAACATACATATAAAACACCCACAAGCCCACTTTAAATAGAAGATCAAAGTCATAAAAGACTCAGAAATTATGTTTACAAGTAACTTCAATGGATGCTGAAACAGAATATTTTGGTAGCTGTCCTCACTCTGAAACAAGATTCGTGTACCTCTACAAGTCTCTTAAGCCCACTGAACCTCAAAACATCTTCCATTTATGCTGTCTCCAAATGGGCCAATTAAAAAAATAAATGTGATTTTAGTGTTTCATAATACCTTAAAATTCTCCCCCCTTCAAAAAAAAAAAAACTTTACTCATTTTTGAGACAGGGTCTCACTACCTTTCACAAATGAGTGAAACTCTAAATAGCTCTCTCTCTCACTTTAATATTTTTATTACTCCCATCTTCCTTCTACCATTCCAAAAAGTTGATTAAAAAAACAATTATGGGGCCAGGCGCAGTGATTCACCCCTGTAATCCCAACACTTCGGGAGGCCAAGGCAGGTGGACCATTTGAGGTCAGGAGTTGGAGGCCAGCCTGGCCAACATGGTGAAACCTAGCCTCAACTAAAAATATAAAAATTAGTCGGGCGTGGTGGCCGGTGCCTGTAATCCCAGCTATTCAGGAGGCTGAGGCAGGAGAACCACTTGAACCTGGGAGGCAGAGGTTGCAGTGAGCCAAGACTGTGCCAATGCACTCCAGCTTGGGCAACAGAGTGAGACTCCATCTCAAAAAACAAACAAAGAAACAAACAAAAAACAGCTGTGTTGGGTGACCTCCCCAAAGGTTTCTTTTGGTATTCTCCTAACATAATGGTCTTCTCTTCTCTGCCTCTAAGACCCAGTTTGGAACTCCATTACTGCTAAGAGAATAGCTCTGCAAGAAAAGCGGGGACACACACTACTTTCTCTGAAGTTACAGGACCCAAATGGTATCCCAGGAGACCTCCAAGTATTGGATCAATAATTGGCCAAAATATAAAAAAGAAAAAGGTCACCTCATTCCAAGATGTGGGGCATACTTCACCAAATTGAGACCACCACTCGTTAGAATCTTGTCTACCGGAGTTTTGCCTCCCAGCACTTCTTGCAAACCCTTGTGTCACCCCTTCTGACTTTCCACTGATTTTTCAGCTGTTTAATTTTAAAGTGTATATAATTTACCCATGAGAAGTCAAGATCTTTAAAAACAGGAAACAAAGGCAGACAACAGAAAAAATTCAGTACACATAGAGAAAGTGTTTCCAAAAGGATATCAAATTTTAACACATTTTACTAACAGAAGGAAGCTTTTATACTTACAGTCGGTACATATTCTGATGGAAATTTATTTGTTGTGTAGGATATCAGGAGACATGTTTTACCAACAGCACCATCACCCACAACAACACACTTAATTGTCTGCATTGCTGAAATAGTTTTGTATCCACTTTAAGTATTTCAAATCTGATGTTAACCTGCAAAAAGATTAAAGACATTTGTTTTGTTTATTTATACTTATACGTGTATTTTTTTTCCCTCAGCAATAGGTTAACAGGCACTCAGAGCAAGAAAAGAACACAATTATTATGGCTAAAAGAACCCAGTAAGAAAAATATTGACTTGCTAATAGTTATAATAACAAAGAAAGTCCATTTCTAGGTTTCTGATCCATGGCTGTTTCAACTTCTTAAGTGTTATTTTTAAAAGGTCCAAAGTGGTGTGATAAGCAGCATATTCCTTTTTATAAAGAGAGAAGGCTGGGTGCAGTGGCTCACACCTGTAATCCCAGCACTTTGGGAGGCCAAGGCAGGTGGATCATGAGGTCAAGAGATCATCCTGGCCACCCCGTCTCCACTAAAATTACAAAAATTAGCTGGGTGTGGTGGTGCATGCCTATAGTCCCAGTTACTCAGGAGGTTGGAGGGAGAATCACTTGAACCCAGGAGGTGGAGGTTTCAATGACCCAAGATCAGGCCACTGCACTCCAGCCTGGTGACAGAGCAAGACTCCGTCTCCAAAAAAAAGAGAGGAGGCTATATCAGAGAAAATTCCAAGTAGTGTGCTAAATATTATTTTGTGAAAGCTGTTCTTCGTTTATAAGTGCACACACACATATATATATGCATGCATGTGAACTAGACTGCAATACAAAGGCCACTGCTTTACAGAATGATTCATTATCCAGCCTTAGGGCTATAGTTACTCAGGTTCTAACCAACAAGCAGCAGAGCACCACACGATCACACAGTAATTACATGAGTAACATGAGGAACTGAACAAAGATCAGGGTGATCACTGGTCTTAGTAGCTGTTTTAGCACCAGAATGCCTAGTCCAAAACTTTTATTTTTATAACGAAAAAGTCAGATTGCTCTAAATCATAGTGACTTATAAACAGATACTACAGCTTCTTACTAGAGTCCTCCATTTTAAGAAGCTATCAATTACAAGTACCAAAGAGTCAATAATTTGAGATTTTCACATTTAAACATCTCTAAAGTCAGAATGTATCTTTACTGAGTCTCTTAGAATCATTATCAGCCATTTTCCCCCACATTTTGACTTCTATGAAATTAGAATGTTAGAGTCAATGAAATACTCTAACAGTTTTCTGAAAGAATAAAAAGAAACACCAACCAAGATATACCTAGATTTTAAGATAAAGTCCTATTTAAATTATAATCCTAAAGGGATTATAGTTAAACATAAAAATAGAGAACCACCTCACTCTTAGTCAGATGCCACATGCTTCAACAGCACCATTCACAACACTTCAGCAAAACAATTTATAAATGCCTATTAACATCTCTGTAAATGAATGTATACTGCCTCATGTACCATTATACTTCTAGCACTGAGCACTTCTAGACCAGTGCACTGTGAGCTGCTGAATGGATGCAAAACTCATGAAACAAAAAGAACATGAAACTATGTTAGTATGTTTCAAGAAATATACACTCTCCCATTCCTCATCAAAATTATCTGCAGTATATGTATCTTTTTTTTTTTCTTTTGAGACAGGGTTTTATTCCCATCACCCAGGCTGGAGTGCAGTGACACAACCTCGGCTCACTGCAACCTCCACCTCTCAGACTCAAACAATCCTCCCACCTTGGCCTCCCAAGAAGCTGGAACCACAGGCACATGCCACCATGCCTGGCTTTTTTTTTTTTTTTTTTTTTTTTTTTAAAAGACTGGGTCTCACTGTTACCCAGGCTGGTCCTGAACTTCGGGGCTCAAACAATCCACTCACTTCGGCCTCCCAAAGTACTGAGATTACATGCATGAGCCACCGCAACCAGCCATATTTATCTTTCTTTATTCAATTTCCTTTTATATCTCCTTTTTCCTTCTCTTTTTATGCACTAGCGAAGCACCCAAACTAATGTAGCATTAAAAGTTAAGGACCCTGACCCCTAAGCTAAATCAATTACTGGTTCAATCTAAAAGCATTCTCAAATAATAACAGTAAGCAGCAAATACTTATATAGCATTATACTAAGTGCCATATACTATTCAAACCATATTACACATATTCACACATTTCATCCTCCCAAAAAGCCTATGAAGTATGTACTATATCATTCCTATTTTACAGGTAAGAAGAGGCTCAGCAAGTAACTAAGCCAAGGTTATTCAGCCAGTAAGGGGTAGAATTATAATTTAAACCCAAGCAGTCTGACTCTCAAGTCCATGCCTTTTTTTTTTTTTTTTTTTTTTTTTTAAAGTCTCACTCTACGGCCTAGGCTGGAGTACAGTGGCATGATCTCTGCTCCACTGCAACCTCTGCTTCCTGGGTTCAAGCAATTCTCCTGCCTCAGCCTCCCGAGTAGCTGGGATTACAGGCACATGCCACCACACCTGGCTAATTTTTTTATTTTTAGTAGAAACAAAGTTTCACCATGTTGGTCAGGCTGGTCTTGAACTCCTGACCTCAAGTAATCCAACCGCCTGGGCCTCCCAAAGTGCTAGGATTACAGGCGTGAGCCACTGTGCCCAGCCTCAAGTCCCCGCTCTTAATAAACATTACATTACACTATACTGTCTGATAAGTGACATTAATAAAAACAAATGTAATCAGTGCTAGTGGAGTGACAGGTATATATCCACGAGAGTTACCAGAAATGCAAACAGGAAGGTAAAAATAAAGAAGAGGAAGCAAAAAAACAGGGGCGAAGCAAAAAAAACGGGCTAAGCTCACTTCCTGTTTTTCAACCTGCATATAACTACTGAATTTTATTGGGAAAGGGGAGGCAAGAAGAAAGAGCAAGATAAGAGTTTGCGCTTCCCCTTTCTATTTATCCACAAGTCTTCCACTTCTTAGACTTCCTGACCTGACTGTTAGCAATTTGTTACAAACTGGTTGGTTGTTGAGTTCCATTAAGAGCCTAGGCTTTGGAATCAGAGTGGCTTTACCACACTCTAGCTATGTCACCTCTGTGTACTTTGGTTTCCCTGTCTGTAAAATGAAAACAGTATTACTTTTCTCATAAGGTAAATTGACTGAATAAGTTAATACATGTAAAGAACTTGCAACAGTGCTTGGCATACAGTACATGCTTAGTAAATGTTAATTATTCATCTTAAACAAGAATACCTTTAAGTCAATATAAGAAATTTTAAAACAGCAACAATACCAAACTTCTTAGAAACTCCTAACACTTTTTATCTCCAAGATAATTATAGTACAATAAGCCCTCCATGTCCACAGATGTAGAATCCATAGATATAGATGGCTAACTGTACTATGCCATTTTACATAAGAAACTTTTGAGCATTCAAGGATTGTATTCTTGGAGAGTTCTGGAACCAATCCCCTATGATATCAACGGACAATTATACTAATTATTCTCCGTCCAAATATAATCAAATTTAGAGTTACCATTACAAAGACGGTCACTTCAGAGTCAAGTTCTAATTAACACTATTCTGCAAAGCATCTGGCATGTATTAATAACTGTTTTATGCGTTAAATAAAAACTATTTTGGAGGCTACTATTGTGGACTAATCTCCTACACTGGGCCCCCAGAGACTAGACTAAAAATCAAAATGGAGTCATCCATGTTAAAGATTCACATCACTAAACTTAAATTTAGTTATCTGACCTGAGAAACAGGAGAGATGACAGCCAGTTTTCTAAACAGGCCACTTTCAATCTTCAATTGGAATAATGAAATTCCCTCTGCTTTAATCCTTACACAAAAAAAGCAGCCTGAAGTAACCTGATATTAACTAATCAGTTATTTTTCTATTGTTCTATATTCTCCCTGTTCCTGCCTTGTAAGAAAGGTAGCTCTAACTAACAGGCACTTTATTCTTTGCTTCCCCTATTCTCAGCTCTTCTCTGTAAAGCCAACCTCTTCTGCTCATCTCCTTCAAACACACTGTTTTTTGGAATGAAGCAATGCTCAATTTTAAAATTGCAATAAAGCCAAGTGAGATTTAAATGTGTTGTAGTTCAGCCCTTTAACACCAGGGCTCACCTGTAATCCTTGCACTTTGGAAGACCAAAGTAGGAGGATCACCTGAGCTCAGGAATTCAAGACCAGCCTGAGCAACATAGTTAAGACATGGCCTCTATTTTTTTTTTTTTAAATGTCAACAGATATTCCACAGATTGGGATGGGTAAAGGGAGCAACCAAGGGAGACACTTTGGGTTTTGCAATATATATAGGCCAGATATGTTCATATACCCTATGTTAATTTCCTGTTAAAATAATATCAAATCACTATGGCAGCAAAGAGGCCACAAAGAAACAATTCCCATTCTGCTGACCAGAAAAGTTATTTTGCACCAGGGGCAGTGGCTTACATCTGTCATCCCAGCACTCTGGGAGGCCGAGGCAAGCGGATCACAAGGTTAGGAGATCGAGACCATCCTAGCTAACAAGTGAATCCCTGTCTCTACTAAAAATACAAAAAATTAGCTGGGCATGGTGGCAGGTGCCTGTAGTCTCAGCTCCTTGGGAGGCTAGAGCAGAAGAATCGCTTGAACCCGGGAGGCAAAGGTTGCAGTAAGCCAAGACTGCACCACCACACTCCAGCCTGGGTAACACAGTGAGACTGTCTCAAAAAAAAAAAAAAAGAAAAGAAAGAAAAGTTATTTTGCACCAATAACCAAATGGTATCCCTTTTTAACAGTGAAATTGATTTGTACCACAACTTAGAATCAGGGCTCGGCAACTTACAGCATTAAAAAATGATTCAGGCCGGGCGCGGTGGCTCAAGCCTGTAATCCCAGCACTTTGGGAGGCCGAGGCGGGTGGATCACGAGGTCAAGAGATCGAGACCATCCTGGTCAACATGGTGAAACCCCGTCTCTACTAAAAATACAAAAAAAAAATCAGCTGGGCATGGTGGTGCGTGCCTGTAATCCCAGCTACTCAGGAGGCTGAGGCAGGAGAATTGCCTGAACCCAGGAGGCGGAGGTTGCGGTGAGCCGAGATCGCGCCATTGCACTCCAGCCTGGGTAAC